AATCTTGCTAAATTCCCCAGGCTGGCCTTGTATTTATAATCCAATTGCCTCAGATTTCTGAATAGCTGGGACTATAGGCATGTGATACTATGCCCAACCCCTATTTTAAAATAGATTTTATTTTTATTTTTTTTAGATTTTTTTTTTTAAATTTTGTTTTTAAAAACTTGGTTTATTACTTATAATCATCTTTTAAGTTATATTTTCTTATATCTGATTTGGGCATTAGCCAAAGGAAAGTTTAATATTTAAAACAGTACCATAATAACAAAATGATGGTAATGAGAATAGTAGCAATAACACACAATATTAGTTGTAAATAGGTAATAAAACTTTTACTTAGGACTTTGGAATAAAATTCTGATAATTTATTTGACCTAATAGTTTTTGTGTTGCTAGTTAAAATATATTTTGGCACAAACACCACTTCTCCCACATATATAGGAATTGTGGAAGCTAATGTATTTGCATATTATTTTATTCTCCAAGTTTTAAAAGTCTGTTCTAATAAAAATGAATAACAATGTTTATATACCTAAGCTTATTTTAATTAAATAAATGTTAACTTTGTTTCTAGGTGATTTATTGCTCACATTTCTTCTGCTTTATTTTTTAGTCCTTTTTGTTGGGTGCCTGGGTTTTGTCGGCTCTGTTTGATTTTATCCTCGTTGAAGCCATGCAGTATTCATTGGGTATCACGGTGGCCAGTAATTTGCCTTCTGGATTGTAAGTAGCTCTTAAAGATTGACTTAACGTATCACTCTTAGATCTGATTGAAGGATTATTCACAAAAGTCACTAAGACAATATTTAGATATAGATATAGTTGTTTTTGTGTAAAAAAAAAATCCAGTATATGTTTACGTGTTCATTTTGTATTACTTCTTTTTTGTTTGTTTATCCTTTTTTTGTTTTTTTCTTTTGTGGTTCTAGGTATTGAACCCAGGGCCTGGAGCTTGCTAGGAAAATTTTCTACCTCCTGAGCTACTTCCTTTTGTTTATATTTGCAATTTATTTTGTGAGAAAGGGTCTCAATAACTTTACCCAGGCTAACCTCAAAATTGCAATTATTTTGCTTATTCCAGCCAAATGTTTGGTATTATAAGTATGTACCACCACACCTGGCTTAATTATTCCTTCAGCTCTAAAATTCTGTGTTTTAAAATTTTAAGTGTTTTTTTAAAGTTTTCCAAACCATGGACATAATACATGTCTTTTTCTTTTAACAACTTTTTTATTACATACATTAGTTGGCAAAAGGTGAGGTTTCATTGTGACATTTTGAGGCATAGTTCATTATGAAGCCCAGGCTGGCCTAGAACTTGTGATCCTTTTGCCTCATTCTCAGTGATGGAATTATAGGCATGTGCCATCACACCTGACTTAGAATTTTTAATGAATCTTGTTCAGCTCTTGAAGATAGAAATTGTATGTATTTTATGTTGTTAATTTTGTCTTTGAATTTTATGAGCTGTTAAATAAACAAATTCAATTAGATTAAGAAACAAAATAAATTTGTATGAAATTAAATGTGTCAAGAATGTCTTTAAGCTGATAATGTTTATATACTTTTTTTTTTCTTTTCTTTCTTTTTTTTTGGTTGGTCATGGGGGCTGAACTCTGGGCCTGGGCGCTGTCCCTCAGCTCTTCAGCTCAAGGCAAGTGCTCTACCACCTGAGCCACACAGCCACTTCTGGCTTTTTTCTGCTTATGTGGTACTGAGGAATCAAACCCAGGGCCTCATGCGTGCAAGGCAAACACTCTACCACTGAGCCAACTTCCCAGCCTCTAAAGGTGAAACTGCCAGATGCTGGTGGCTCACAGCTGTAATTTTAGCCACTCAGAGGGCTGAGATCTCAGGATCAGAATTCAAAGCTAACCTGGGCACAAAACTTCATGAGACTCTTATCTCCTGTTAACTACCAAAAAGCTTGAAGTGGAGATGTGGCTCCAGTGGCAGAGCACCAGCCTTGAGCAAAAATGCCAAGTGAGAGTGAGAGGCTCTGAATTCTAGCCCCACTCCTAGCACACAAAAAAAATAAAATAAAGGTAAAGCCGTCAGTATACAGGTTACAACTTTTTACTCAGTCTTCACTGACCAACCTAGTTTAGAGTATATATTTCCATATTGTTTTAGTATTTATTTTAGCAACACAAATATTATGCTTTAATACAGATGGAATAACTAGTAGTAAGAGTCAGAGGTTTTGTACTTGTAAATGTTCTTAACACATCTATGAATTAAATATATGAAATTATTTGGTAGATAAGATGGTAGGAAATTATAGATCTTGGATATTTAAAGTTCTTTGAGTACTAATTTTGGCCTTATTTTCAAGGCCGAAGTTAATTTACTTTGGAGCCCTGTTTTAAATGTATATTTGATGATCCAGTAGCTTTCATACTTACATTGATAGTATTTACATTATAATTGCACTTCATGAAGTTACTGGGTTATAATAGACATGATTGTCGATGAATGTAGACCTTTAGTTGTTTTAATGTACTGTACTAACACTTTGAGTAGAGATAGGAAGTTCTGTGTGATAGTTATCACACAGGTTTATTGATTGCCATGGGTTTTAAGTGTAATTAAGCTGAGATGTGTATGCTGACTGCTTTGTGAGAGAAGTGTAGTCACTGGGAAGTATTTGGTGTAATTCTGGAAAAAAAGCCTACTGTGAGTTCTGGAAGAGTGAGTGTGTGTCCATGTGTGCTTGTATTAGAATAAATCTTGAGATGAATAGTAACATAGTTCTTAGCTCTTATTTTTACTGTCCCTTCGTCTGATGACACAGTACAAAGGGTTGGATGACAGTGGAATCATCATATTTACTTTGCTATAAAATCATATTCATTGGTGCATGAAGAAGTCTGATTTGGAGTTGGTGGAAATTTTTTACTTTTTTTTTTTTGGTCATGGGGCTTGAACTCTGGACCTGGGCACTTTCCCTTTAGTTTTTCAGCTGAAGGCGAGTACTCTACCCCTTGAGCCACAGTGCTACTTCGAGTTTTCTAGTGGTTTATTGGAGATAAGAGTCTCACAGACTTTCCTGCTCTGGCTGGCTTTGAACCGCAATCCTCAGATCTCAGCCTTCTGAGTGGCTAGGATTACAGTTGTGAGCCACTGGTGCCCAGCAATTTTTTTATTAACGTTTAAGAGAGAGAAATATTTAAATCTCTGTAGCTAGAGTTGTTATTTTATGATTAGAATACCTTGTGATTTTCTTTTTTCTTTCTTAAAATCTGAATTTACTCATTAGTTTTAGAAATCCATTAATAACCAATACATATATTTAGTTTTTAGTCTCATTAGGAAGTGATCATATTAAGCATAATAAAGATGATTTAGCATAGAGTCCTGAATAAATTAATAAATAATAATATTATCTTTGAAAGAAACAAATGTTAATTCAGCCATTTTCTGAGTGAGAATATATTTCTTTTTCTTTTCAAGTCACAAAACATTCTAGTATGGCTTTTTATAATCTTAAATCTTTCTCATATATACTTCTTAAACATCATTACTTCAGCAAATAAACTTTTTAATATTAAACTTCTGTACCAAAGCTTCAGAAACAAAAGAAAAAAGGCAAACTGTTCTTTATGATTTTTATTGTGTTTCACAAAACAGCTTTCTTATCAATGCCAAATTTATTTGTCTTCTTACAGTTTTTCCTACACAATTCTGTTTCCTTTCTTTTTCTTTTTTTACTTTAACATTACTGAATTTCTCTAGTATAGATCTCAAGTTCTAATTGTAAGTCCATCAGTCACCCTGTTTGACCTTTCATAGCACATCAAATGCTTTTAACCTCTTTTAATCCCAATCTCATGAAGCCACCTGCTTTGTGAATGCCAGCATGTTCTCTCTTGGTTCTTTTGACCTTTCCTGCTGTTTTCTGGCCTTTTCTCGAGCCTATTCCCTGTGGTTCCTTTGGGCTATTTCTTCTACTGCTGTGACTTCAAGGATAGTTCACACCTGTTGTTTTCTAGCCCCCTGTTTCCAGCCCATTCTATTTTCCTGATCTTTCTGAAGTCTTAATTCTTATTGCCTAAACTTTTCTTAACAGTAATCTTTTTTTTTTGGTCCGTCATGGGGCTTGAACTCTGGGCCTGGGCGCTGTCCCTCAGCTCTTCAGCTCAAGGCGAGCGCTCTACCACTTGAGCTACAGCGCCAATTCCGGTTTTCTGGTGGTTTATTGGAGATAGGAGTCTCACAGTCTTTCCTGCCTGGGCTGGCTTTGAACTACGATCCTCAGATCTCAGCCTCCTGAGTAGCTAGGATTACAGGCGTGACCCACCAGCGCCGGGCTTTAACAGTAATCTTTTCTTGCTTAGATTTTTACAGTAATTCTTGAACTTGTCTTTCTATCAAAGCATCCCATACATTGTCAGGATTTTTTGTTTTGTTTGTTTTCTCCCCTAAAAGACAAGATTGACCAGGCCAGCCCTCATTTTTAAACCATATGCAGCTTCTTCTGTTTAGATGAAATCTCCTAGGTTTTTCTGCTCTGTCCTGGAATCATAATCCTTCTAATCTCAGCCTCCCATATAGCTATGAATTGAGGAGTCTTTTGATCTTTCCTGCCTGGATTGGTTTCAAAAAGGATTCTCAGATCTCAGTCTCCTGAGGATTACAGTCATGAGCCACTAGTGCCTGGCTCCTAGCCTTGATTTTTCAATACTGTATCTCCCTAATTGCTCATGCTGATCTTGAATTTGTGACCCTTCTGCCTCTACCTTCCAAGGTCTGGGATTATAGATGTCTGATAACATACCTGGATCTCTTTATGTTTAAAACAGAAGAGTTAGACCAGATCATCTAAGTGCTAAAATGTTATTTTATGATTAGAATACCTTGTGATTTTCTTTTTTCTTTCTCAAAATCTGAATTTACTCGTTAGTTTTAGAAATCCATTAATAACCAATACATATATTTAGTTTTTAGTCTCATTAGGAAGTGATCATATTAAGCATAATAAAGATGATTTAGCAGAGTAAGCCGTAGTTGAATTATTTATTTTACTTTCATATTATTTAAAATAATCCTTTTACATATTACAACTTTTCCTGTTTTTGTGATTTTTTTTTTAGAGAGTAGAGAATTTACTTTATGGAGAAATTTAAAAGCCAGGCTAGCTTAAGAACCTAAAATCCCTGGACAATGCTATTTATACTATGACATATATTCTGGAACACAATCTGTGTAATGTACTTTTTAACTACACAAAACAAAGTGTCAATATTAGAGAAAGGTATTTCACCACATATTACACTTGTTTGTCACAGATTAGACTATTGGGTAGAAATAGGATTTCAGGCTTGTCTCCTGTTAGGTTTGGTGTATAATAAATTCTAAGGAATGTTTGTTGGGTGACTGTACTCTGTTTTCACAAAAAATGAATTCATAGTAGGGGAGGGCCGTAGCATGGCCTTTCTAGACCTTTCTGTTGCTTGTTTTATAGCAATGAACAGTGATGAGTTGAACATAAGTGTTTTTGTAAAAATACTGAAAGTTTATCACATAAAATAGTGAATTTGAACCTCAAATCCTGAGTGTTAACTAGACAAAAAGGAGGTGCATCAAAGTAGAAATAATGTAATCAGATTATTTTGAACTGTAGCTGAATTTTCCCCCTCATATCAGTCATTACACAGAATTAATCCAAAATGTTAGCGCAATTATCTGAGTAGATAAGCTTGACTACGAAACAAAGTTTGAGTGTTTTTTTTCTAATGATTCATGAAAATGTTTAATACAAGTTTTACAATAAAATTGAGTATATTAGAATGCTCAGTATATGTAATCATGCCACAATAATCCGTAAAAGGTTTTAAAGTTTTTGTTGTTTTAATGAGAGAAGGGACTTGGTAATACCTATCTGGAATAGGAAAGTGAATTTTAAAGAGATAGAGAAAACCAGCTTTCTACTCTACAACATCTCACTGGTCATATTGCTCAATGATCGTAAACTACTGGATCGGAAACTTTTTCTGCGCACACTCCGAAGGTAATTGCGGTATAACATGACACTAATGACTCTAGCTTGAAATTGTTTGGAAACAATGTAGTAAAGAATCACATCTAGACATGTGCTGAGGTTCATGAGGAAGGTGGTAAAGGCTCCCCAGGGGTTGTAACTGTTTTCTCCACCATCCAGCATCAGGAAAGCAAAACAGATGTGGAAGGGCACGAAACAGATGAGCACCTGCACCAGGAGTGTGATGATGATCCTTATGGACTTCTCCTTGACCTTAGGTTTCAGCTTAGATGTCCTTCCACGCAGGAGACTGTGAATAATGACCACATAGCACCCAATCATGATGAACAGAGGAACCAAGAAAAAAAATATCAGTCGAGTGAAGTTCAGCACATTGACAGCTTTGAAGTGGACGATGTCAGAAATCTTCAGGCAGGTGGCAGGGGAGGAAGCTTTATCTGGGTCTTCATAGAGTAGTAGCAGAGGGACCATGATCATTAGGGTCATTGTCCAGATTCCCACACAGGCAAGCACAGCTTTGCATGTCTTCTTGAGCTCTTTGGCATATTTGGGCTGTACTATGGCCATGTATCTGTCAGCACTAATAAAAGCAAGAAGCCATAGAGCAATGCTTGGATAAAACACTACCAGAACCCCAAGAATGTGGCAGAAGTACTCTCCAAATGGCCACTCACCTTTTGCATAGTAAAACATTCGGAAGGGCAAAGTCATGATAAATATCAAGTCCAGTAGTGCCACATTCATCATATAGATGGTTACAGTGGTTCTTTTCTTGGTGGTACAACTGAAAACCCATAATGCAGTGACGTTAACGAACAATCCAATCAGGAAGATGCAGCTGTAGAAGACCAGAGCTGCAATTTTGTACTCATCTGGATGTGAACTGTTAGAAGGGCCAGGTTGATTGCTGTCTTGATTGCTTGTGATAGTCATCTTATAAATGACTGGTAGGCATGATACTTAAGACACTAAAAGTTGTTAAGAAAAATAGGCATAAAAACCTTTGGTTAGAAATAGATTCTTAATATTCTCATACTCATTTTGAGAACATTTTATGCTAAAAACCTAACGTGTGTCTTAGCTTTTATTGAAGAATGCATTCCCTAGGGAGGATTGTCGTGAACTATTTTTTTCTTCAGTACTGACTGTTCCCTTTGCATGCCAGGCAAGTGCTCTGTCACTGAAGCTAGCTACACTACATCCTTTATTATGTAGTATCCGCTAAGTAAATGTCATAATACTATGGCAGATTCATTCACGTTCACTGTTTTTGCTCAGCTTTATTCCCCGAAGAATAACCTTTTCTTTACAATTCTTTTCCTGTAGCATAAAATGCATTAGTAATAAGTGTCTTTTGTTGCTTTAATGGAGGAAAGGCCAATCTAGATTTTAAAATCTTACAAAATGATTTGCCAATTTTTATCATCTTCATTATGTTTAACTAGTTTATAGCTCGAATTAGTAATATCCAGAGAATAAAGTTTTACTCATTAAATACAAATTTTAAAGTGCATATTAAAAACTAATAAAAGCTGGGTTGTTGATAGCTCACACCTATAATCTTAGCTGAGATCTGAGGATTGTGGTTTAAAGCCATCCTGGTCAGGGAAGTCCATTACACTCTTATCTCCAATAAACTATCCAGAAAAAGCCAGAAGTAGCACTGTGGCCCAACTTGTAGAGTACTAGCCTTGATAAAAAGAATCTCACAGACAGCATCCAGACCCTGAGTTAAAGCCCCAGGACCTACAATAAACAAACAAATAATGAAAGAACCATATAGCCAGCTAATTACTGAGCAGTCACAGTAGTTCACATGACAAAGCAGGAACTTCTTTTTCCCCCACTTTTCCACTGCCTATTGAGCACATGGTAGGTGCTCAGTAATAAAATGCTTAAGTAAAAAAGGAAAGAATGTTCGGTGAGGTCACCTATAGCAGCTGTTCTCTGCTTGTCAGTGAATTGTTGTCCTGTTAAATCTTTTTTTTTTTTTATTTTGTAAGCAGTAATCACTTCATAGGATATATTATATTCTCTTTAAATTGCCATATATCTAGAAACAGCACTGTTTTGTGTAATGGATGGTGTATACACTTGGAACCTAGGCTCTTGAACTGTGTTTAGCAGTTTCCTAAAGACTGAATTTTGCTGCCTTGGTGCTGCATAGAAAGCAGCACTTTGAAAATAAGTTATTGCTCTACTGTTTATCAAATTAAGCAAAAGTAGATACTAAGAAGTCAGTCAATAACTTGATGTATAAGTAAAAAACTGATAAATTACCATAATAAAAAGGAAGTTATTGTAAATAACATTGACTCTAAGTGTGACATCCCGTTATCCAGGGTGCAACCTCAACTGGTTCAAAAAACATTTGCTGCAAAGAGATTGAACCTCTAGGCATCTCTGAAATATTGAGGTCCATGAGAAGGTTCTATAAGCATGTTCTTTTGTAGAGTGTTTCATCCATAATTCAGCCCTGGCTCTCATTAGTGAAGCTGTGGGGAAGATTAACAGCCAAGTTGGTGGCACCATGGGCTGCTGATAGGAATTAATTTGAGCAATTGCTATGAATGAACACAAGACAGGAGTTTGTTTCCCTCTCCTCCATTTCTTCCTTCCTTTCCAATTCCAGACTTCTTCAAATGGTTTGTCAAACATTTGGATTGAATACAATTCTAAAGTTTAGCTTTCCAAATGTTGGGATACCTAGAGTGTTAACTTTTATGTAAGGAGTGAACTTCTGCAAAGAAAGAGTAGATCTTTAGTATCATACAAAGGAGAATAACTTGAATCATGCATTTTACTCTCAACAGATTTTTAAATACTAACAATGGCATTGTAATGAATTGAGTTTTTTCTTTTCATTCATCCTCACCCCTATATTTACAAACTCTCTTGATTAAATATTTTCCACCACTGGGCTTAAGCTCCTTTTTATGTAGTCCATTTGTTAACAACTCTTGTATTCATTTGCTTCAGTTTAAAAAGAATACGAATGATAGATGTCTTAAAAGCATTATATTATTAGTATAACATTATTAGTATAACATAACATTTTAAGATCCTTCATCAACATAGTTTCTGTAATGTTTTAATAAAATAAAATAGTGATTTTCTTTAGCTTAATACTAATTTTCGAGCATTTCTTTCTAATAATGGAGTGCAAAAGTTAATTGACTGCTGCTTACCTCCTGCCCATCAAAGTGCTGTGTTAGATAGAGGTGAACATTTTCCAGTGTTCTGTAAAAGGGGATCTTGGAGTTGCCTGTGTTAAGACAGTTCTGCCTGGAAATGGAGCTTTTCAGAAATGCTGTATTTCTTTTGTCTTGGCCTCACTTGTTTCTTCAGAAGGCAGTTTCACATGCAGTGCTGGTTCTGGAGTAGCGGCTGTGATCGCTGCTGCTCTCTTTCAGGAAGTGCTCTGTGAAATAAGGCTTCTCAAGTTGAGACTTCATCCTGCATGTGGTTTTTCTCTTTCACAAGTGACTTGTTTGTGAAGTCACGTTTAGCATAGGCTCCTCTTGAAATGAAGGCATCTGTTTAAGAGCCATGTTAAAAGGGAACATTGTTTCAATTGATTATTATGATGTTTAAAGTTTGCCCTCCCCCCCCCTGTTTTGTGGTCCTGGGGCTCGAACTCTTGGCTTGGGCACTGTCCCTAAGCTTTTGTGTTCAAGGGCTTGAGCCACACCTCCACATCTGGCTTTTTGTGGTAAATTGGAGATAAGAATCTGAGACTTAGGAAAGGCTGGTATCAAACTGTGATAATCAGATCTCAGCCTCCTGAGTGGCTAAGATTACAGGCGTGAGCCACTGGTACCTGGCCAAAGTCTGCTCTTTTTATGGAAAGAGAAGGCGATTTGATGCTGGGCCAAAATGGGCTCAAAGTAACTTCTTTACTTTTCTAAGCTGAGTGACTTTAGTTACTTTTTGTTTCTACTTAGTTTCTATGCAATTAACATACATAATTCTCATTTGGAGGACCCTAGTCCAGAAAATGTTCTACGTACCTAACAAAGCACTTGGCACTTAGTAGATACTCCTACATTGTATCTTCATTAGTAAGTCCCTAAAATCATACTATTAAATAATAATATTTATTGTTTAAAATATTTATGTTTAAATAGTAAAAAATAGCATCTTCATTTATTTTCTTTTGCTTTGCCAAGTACATCAGATACTTTTATCCATTTTGGTTTGCTTTATTATGTAATTCTCCAATGCTTCTGCTTCACATAAAACTCAAGAAATAACTTTTTTTGTTATCATGCCATAGGACTCTCAAAGTCTTCAGGGGAAAAAGTTACATATCAGGAATGTTTTTATCTAAGAAGGGAAATGAAACCAACAGAAAGGGAAGTGAATAGCTCAAAGCATTGCCTCTCTGGTTATAGTAATTCTTTCTTTTTACTTTAAAAACAACATCTCATTTGCTTGTCTTAAAATTTTAATTATCTTTATATTCAATTATACATGCTTTATAGCTTAGAAACTACCTAAACTTCATGCTTTAAAAAAAATTTATATCCCGTTTGAGTCTGTACTCTTTCCTTCTTACCATAGTAAGCAGCTATGCCTTATACAAGATATTAAAATCCTTGCCTTTAGTGACAAAAGCTTTGTGAATGCAATGGCTTACCAGACATGTGGGTTTTAGAAGCACTGGAGAAAACCAGGGTAACAATGTCTTGTGCAAATGAGGAAATTAAGGGCCAGAGAGGTCCATTACATGTCAGAGAACTTTGTGACAGCCATGTTTAGCTTCTTTAGGGGGTTAGCATCCTTTCCTGGGCTCTCTAGCTATGGCAGTAACTTCTTATGAGATGACTACCTTGATTTATTCACTAGGTAGGATTTCTGCATGGATGAATTGTGATCTTTCTTTTCTTTTCTTTTTTTTTATGGGTAGAGATACGTTTTACATGTTGCCTAGGAGTGTGATACTTCATCTGGACTGAAACTTTTGTTTGTGGATCCAATCTGTCTGTCCTTCACCTTATTTCACAGTCTGTGACAAAGTTTTCTAAAATTAGGTATTGATTTGGTTCTCCTGTGCAGTTAAAAATCAACAGCTGCAGTGGTGGCTTGCATCCACGGGACTCCTTGCCTTAAGACTTGTGTCCTTTCTTGTAAACCAGTTTTATTTCAAAATTGACCATTTCTCAGAGGGACCATCGGTCAAATTAGGAACTCCTCAGAGGCCTGGCATAAGGCTGCAGTCTGTCCTTTGTCCTTCCCCATCTCACTCCACTTAAGCTGCCTAGGGCTTTTTGCATCTGCTCTCCTGCCTCTGTGCATGTGGATCCGGCCTCCTGTAGCCCTCCCACCTCTTAGCTTGGCCAAATGTCATTTATCCTTGACACTATCTTTTCCAGGAAGTTGTCTTTGCCCCCTAAAGCCAATCTGGCTGCTGTGTATTCCTGTGGTATGTGTTTGTAGTGCTGCTCTTCTGCCCAAGATATCACAGTCCTTGAGTATTGTCATGAGTTGTGTATGGGTATATGTAAGGGGCATTTTATATGCTGGTTGACTGCCCAGAAGGTAAGCCAATAGAGAGGCTGGACAGTAATGAGCAAATTACTGAGCCCAGTGTGAGCAGCAGGAACACTTTGATCATGTGAAGGCCTGGGTGTGGTGAAAGGGGGCAGGTGATAGTCCTCCCCTCAGAAATGTTAAGTATTGAACACTGTTTTTTCTTCTCCTTGTCACTTAGCATGATTTTAGGATGGGAAGAAATTACTGTGAATTCCCCAAATGATTTGACAGCTAGTAAACAATGCGTAAGGATTAAACTTTCATGATGTCTACCTTACTTCTGTTAATACTTGAGCCCAATGAATTTTTTATTCACACAGAGGATTTATCTCATTCAGAAGCCATCCATGCAGCTTTATTTCCTCACTTACTTTGGGATATGAATGAAATAAATTTTACTCATTGTATAAAAGGGATTTCACCTATTCCCACTGACTTCCGTTCACTTTTATGAATTACTCTTAGCTTTGGTTCTAAGTTCTAGATTAAATGTTAAAGGCTCTGGCCGGGCGCTGGTGGCTAATGCCTGTAATCCTAGCTACTCCAGGAGGCTGAGATCTGAGGACTGCAGTTCAAAGCCAGCCTAGTCAGGAAAATCCATGAGACTCTTATCTCCAATAAGTCACCAGAAAACTGGAAGTGGTGCTTGGCTCAAGTTGTAGAGCGCTTGCCTTGAGCTTGAAGAGCTGAGGGATAGCGCTCAGGCCCAGAGTTCAAGCCCCACGACTGAAAAAAAAAAAAGTTAAAGTCTCTAAGTAAATTTTGATTTTAGTATAAGGTAGTTTTTGAGTGAATATTATTGGAAAGGACATTGATAGATTTACACAGCAAATCTGTATTATAAATCATGGTCCTCTCAGATATATGTCTGTATCAAAGACACAGTAATATTTCCTGTTCTTGCCAGTTCTCTTAACCATAGCAAGTGCTAAGGTCAGCTTACCCTTATTGCCTCCCACACTGCTGTGGCCAGGGGAACGCCTTAGTTATTTTCTAGCTATCCTACCATGGAGACTCGGCCTCAAGCCCACAGTGGTTGGTAAACAATTGGTCTGCAGAGAGGAATGAGAGTGACAAAGAACCTCAGAACTAGGGGGAGACTTGTGGTTCTAACATTTTCTAATTTGCCATTCTGGAACTTTTGTCCCCTGCTGCTCTCTTTCTCAAACTTGTGTCTAAACTGACTGGTGTTTTTTTGTTTGGGGGGGGGGTAGACTAGGTGGGATCATATGTTGTATGGTAGGAGTTTCTGGATAAATACTGAAAAACTTTATATCTAAATATATTTTTAAAGCCCAACAATTTTATAGCTCTGACCTTATTGCCATGATCATATGAGACAATATCTGTTTAATTTCCTAAATTATATTAAATTTAGCATCTCCAAATTTCTTTTCTTTAGCAGTTTTTATGTATTTTAAAACTTTATAGACATATAATCACTTACCTCACAGCAAACAGTTTGAACCCAGCTATAACCATGTGTATGAAAAATAATTCTAGCTAAATATATTTAATAAGTATTAACAGTATTAAAGAGTCTGTCACTAAGAAAACATAGGACATGACTCTACATGGCAGTTAATCAGTCCTGGAGCCACTGAAGTCTTAAGGGACCACAAGCAAGATCTCATGGTGTGGTGTTAACCAACAGAACAAAGGTTGAATCAAAGGCCCATGGTAGCTGGTTGAGATCTCCATAGTTATTGTGATATATCTGATATCTACTACCCACAGTTAAAGGAGATGCACAAAAAGGAATTTGAGCAAGATGCAGTTCAAAGAGAGGACTCGTTCCTATAATTTGGATCTCAATATGTTCCAGAGGTTTCTGTGTAAAAACCTTGGTCTTCAGCTTGACTCAGGCCCTTGGGCAGGGTCTGCATCCATCAGCCTCAGGGACAGAGAGCAGAGTGCAGAGGGAAAGGAAAAAGTAAAATTTTCAGCCTGCCATACTTTTCTGTGGTGTGAAATGTTTCATATTCATAAAGGCTCTTGATGTTGTTTGCACTGGTCCTGGGTCTTGAATTCAGGGCCAAGGCTCTGTCCTTGAGGTTTGTTTGTTGTTGTTGTTGTTGTTGTTGTTGTTGCTCAGGGCTAACGGTCTGCCACCCAGGTCACAGCTCTACTTCTAACTTTTTGGTGATTTTTGGAGATAAGTGTCTTACAGACTTTCCTGCCCTGGTTTATTTGGAACTGCAATCCTCAGATTATATCTTCCTGAGTAGCTAGGATTACGACATGAGCCACGGGCACCCATCTCAGGGTTTTTAAAGAAAGCTTGGGTTTTTGAGTTGGCAAAAACTAGGTATTATAGGCATGCCATGTCTGTCATGTGAAGCTGTTTCTGTAGCTGCTTTGCCACCAAGAATTTCAGTCTGTGTCTTGTCTTATATTTACCTTATAGCTGTGTCCAGTGACTGCTGTAGACAGCAAATGCTTGTGTCTATGACTTGAGCCACAGCACCACTTCCGGCTTTTTTCTTATGTGGTGCTGAGGAATCGAACCCAGGGCCTCATGTATGCAAGGCAAGCGCTCTACCACTGAGCCACCTTCCCAGCCCCTGTCCTTAACTCGGGACTGGGCACTTGTGTTAGAGTCCTGCCTGAGTCAGTCTTCAGTGAGACTGAGCCCATTTCATAGGTCACTCTTTCAGTTGAAGGAAGAGGAAGTTGGCCAAAGCCTTCTCTCAGGGGCCTTCCAGAACTGTGTCATTTGAAGGGATCCTTTCCTCACCTCTTTTCATTGCAGTATTTAATCGCTGGTCTCCTCAATTGCTGGCTTAAGAGCTGGTAGGATGGAGGTCCTGCATAGAAATTTAATGGCTCCAGGACTCATTTAGCAAAACCTCATCCAA